AATGGAATTAGCCAAGGCCGTCCGTGGTTCCAACTTCACGACCGACGAAGACTACCAGCTTGTCCGGTCATGGATCAACATCTCTCAAGATGTGTCCAAGGGTAGTACTCATCACGCATCACCACACCGTCCATGATTCGTTCAAACAGCGGTCTGGCCATTCGAAATTGATGGCGAAACTTGGCTTCGCCGTAGATTGGATTGGGGTCAAAGTTGTAGGTAAATCCGAGCATGCGCAGCCTCGCTATGTCGTGGTAGGTCTGGCTGGCGGTTGGCAATAGAGCCTTTAGGGCGCGCAGAAGACTGATGAAAGCCAAGAATCTCCCAAGCTTGATCCATGTCATCATCGTCGTCCTCCCACGCCATCGCGCCAGGCGTTCATTTCCGGATAATAACATTATTCGGATGTTTTACAGTTTTACCGCTGGGGTTGACAAAAATCAAAATACAGGAACTGTAAAACGGTATTATACAGTCTGATTATACAGTCGCACCGGTGGGGATGCCCTAAGGGACCCTAAAATAGATCAAATTGGTCCATGATTATTTGTTGAGCGTATCTCCATTTCCTGGGCCTTAATGGCGTTGATGATACAAGTTGGCGGTACTCATACAGTATGATGAGACGACCATTGAAAGCCCACCATAAGGTGTACCAGTACTACTGTAATAGTCAATGCGAATATTATCATATTCACAGTCAATTATAACAGGCCAATTAGAATTGCCGAAATAATATTGGCTAAAATTCAGGTACTGTAGTCTCACAATTTGATGAATTGTTACTGTTAAATTTGTCGAAAATAGCACGTTCAAAACTGGGAGGGAAATCAGTATTGGACTTGTATGAGAGATTTTGTATAAAATCATAAAAATAAAAAAAAGTAGAAATGACCAAAAGTTGTCGAATTCGACACTGGGTTTTGGCAGAAAATAACCCAAAACCAAATTGTCAATCCTGTAAATCATGTTGAGCAAGCAGTTGCGTGTGATCGTCGTGGACGACCACCATCATGTGCTCGAGCCTATTCACCAGGTACATGCTCGTCTATGAGGGTGCCACGTATGACTCATGACCGTAGGCCATACGAAAGCGCACGCTGCCGTTTTCCAACTGGACCCTCGTGCATTTCGACGCACACCCCGACTTGGCGTTTCCCCGGGACATCCCCGCGTCTTGTGTATTTACTCCATCTGCACTGTACGACGCACTGGACAGTAGCGAGGCTGGGATTGCTTCGTTTCTCCTGCCGCTGGCATTTGCAGGGCACATGGGGTCGCTTGTGTGGGTCAAGCCTCCGTGGGCCAACCAGGTCTCTCTCTCTGTTGTATCTGCTATCTGCCGTCAGACCATGCTAACATGCCGTAGATGGCCATGGGCAACGAAACCTTTACCGTTGGCGAACACGTGGACAATGGCAAGTCATAACGGCGTATCGCTTCTCCTTGGCCAAATGGCGAGGTTAATGTACACATTGCAAACCGTAGGAACGCTGGGCGTGACAAGCCACCACAGCTATTTTGTAGACGAAGGCCTTTACGCCCCAGAGTCCAAGTTGACAAAACAACAGTACGTTGTTAGCGAGTGTTGAAGCCCATTCTCATGGACGTGAGCTATGGCAGGTCGCTGCACTTGACAGTGTGCGAGTTGCCGCAAGGCGCACCTGTAGTGCCTAGCGGACCGTTTGTGTTGGACATTTGCTTGGATTACTTTACAACGTTGAACCCGTTCCTTCAACGTACGTTCGTTTCACACCACTCTCGACGCATATATATCATCTAGTTTTCCATGTCCGGACGTATATATATATATGCATCTATGCAATATATATACCGTATTTGTCGTACCGCTGTACCATGTTATTATTAAATTGGAGTATTATTTATTTATGATTATATTGAACTATATCGTTATATTTTCGTTTGATATGTCATGGTCCAGATCAACGACAATTACGGTAGATATAAACCCAGGCCATTCTCAATATATATTATATATATATACCGATGGCAATATTAGAGTTTGAGCTCGCGTGTGGCGCAGACGACACGCGTGTCTTGTGTCGTATCTATGGTGGAGTTCAATTCAAGGTACAGAAGTACACTGAATATCTGTCCATCTCGTCATATTTGCCGTAGAACGTGCCGCCCACACTCTGCCATGCCGACCAACTGCGTCATCAACACGAGCACGCCACGTAAGCGCTACTCCGAGATTCCCTCGAGATAGTGACATAACGACGACTTAGGTCATTGGACCGGGTGTTGGTGACCCAAGCATGGCGTCAAATGGACGAAGCTGCGTTTATCGCGAGTGTACATATATACACCACATAAATCTTTATAAGCGAACGACGTGACAGGTGGCCCACGTGTTCCCTCTCTATAACGACCCAGCCGCAATGCCTGGCCTATTTCAACTGTATTATCGTATGCTTTCACGATACAACGAGGCCCAGTTGGACCTGGTACGAACTCGAGCTCTCTACTATTTGCAAGTAAATCGATATTATATTAGGTACAATGGGCGGCGCCTTGTGTGGACCTACCCATGCATGTGAATCCTAATATAGAGCCCATGTTAGACGAAATGCAAACGTACTTGCATTCCTTGGACGGTATCCCAAATCTATTTGGTTTTCAGCTCTTACAAATATCCTGATACCATGACCCCATAGTTTGTCCCAGTTTGATCACTATTGCCACGTCTCAGACAGACAACTACACCCCGTCGCATGAAGTCACGTCGATTCTGGACCGTACGTTGGCCATGCTACGTCAAGTGTACGGTTCAGAGCATCTCGATGTAACTTCGCATTTAATCGAGTAGTATTATTTATATCGCATAACTGAATCGGCGAGGTGGGTGGATGGGGTACAGTGTAGTCCTGCCGACGGGACGACCCTGTCACGATGACATTCCTAGTAGTTTACGGCGCTGCCACGTCATCACTCTGACGACTGATGAGGTCAACCACAAGGTGCGCAAAGTGCAAAGTGCCGTCGTTGACAATCACCACGTCGTACAGCGTCAAGTACTCGGCCATACGTTCTTCAATGTGTGCGTTGAGAAAGCCAATGCGAAGCACTTCCTTCCCGTCTAGCCCTTGCGTCATGTTGACATCTCCAACCTACTATAACGTCATATATCGAGATCACGTCATCGTGACATACCGAGTCCCCCAGCAGCACCACGTTGCGGCGGCTGTGGCACTCGTCCCAAAATGGCGTGTCCCGCACGACTGCCGTGTTTTTGTTGTGGCAATGGATCAGCTACGTATGGTCGAGAAATATATTTTGAAATATATATATATTTATTTATTTTTTGAGATATAGTCGTTGATTATATATTTGACTTCCATACAGTTATGATTGATATGTAGTAGCAGCAGTCATACGATCAACTTTTGTAACAAAAGGTAAAATTAAAAAAACTATTTTTAAAAGAATATTTAACATAATTTATAATTTTTAATATTATTTAATTATAATATAAAACGAGAAAAGAGGGACTTGAACTTGAAATTCAGATGAAGATTTATCAAAATATATCTATAAAAATAAGGATACTATAAAAATAAAAAAATACACTGAAATTCTTGATATATCTTGACACACGCATGTATATTTGACATTCGATCGTTATATATATACTATACGTTTGATATATATATATATAATATATACATACCTTTTCTTGGAACCCCAAGAGGCGTCCCGTGGTCGGGTCAAACTCCATCACGTTTGAAATCACGTGCACATTGGGCGTCCAAAACGAAGCCCCCCAATTCTTGTTCATCACGGCTTGGATCACATCTACGAAATGTCGTTTTCAATATATCCCAAAGAAATACATATATTCATGGAATCGTCAGAATGCTATTAAAAAAGATATATTTTCAACTGCACATCACGGTATAACATGCAAAAAAAAGTTTTTTTAATCAAAAGCAAATAAAACAAAAAAAGCCTTGATTTACAGTCACTCCCAACCTATATTATATATCAACACGACGACAGATTTGGGTTTCGATCTCGTGAACACAAATAAGTTCTACCACGACGTTGCCAACAACAATATGATGGCGAGTGCGCTTAATATACATGTGCCAACATCATCACCATATCATATCCATTTTCACAAAATATATTGTTGTGTATATTCTAAACTGGAGCGACATGGAGAATGAATCGACATCAACAAATGTACAGTACACAAGAATCGGCAGAATATTTGAACCAATCAGATTGCAGGAAAGTATGATCCACGTCAAATTAGTGTGTGACTTCAATTAGTGTGATACCAATCACCACTGGACACCACTTTACATACAAAATTCAATACAAAGAAGAATCGATCGGTAGATTTGGCGGTTCAGCACTAAAGTCCAAATTTTGGGATAAATGAAAGACAATATATATCACGATCTGGACAACCTGCATTCTTCGTATCGTGTAATATCATTGAAGGCCAAGACAACCAAAACGCATATTGTTGTACCTGCGAGTCCCGCGGAAAAGATCAACGTCGGCACATTGGCTTTAGCGAGCGATGCAAACAATGGCTGGAATCCGTCCCGGAATGTAATGTCGGCGTTGGCGACGGCATCCTTGATGTGATGCGCGTGCAGTCCATAGTCCACCATGATCTTGTGCGACCGTTCCCACCTAATAGCCCCAAATGTGAGATGACCAATTTGCTATCATACTGTGACACTGTACCACTGGACCATGTGCGGTTCCTTTTCGTCCTGGGTCAAGAGTGGCGAGATCTCAATGGGATAAAACTGCTGGAACAACGCGTTCGCCTTGGCCTGAAACTCGTGGCCAAGGAACCCGCTACCACTGATGATTCCATGGCAAGAGTGTGCGTGTTCGCCTGTTGGAGTGTGGTACGGCGTCAGCGTGTAGTCAAAGTCTGCAATCACGAGCAGTTGCGATGGGCCGTCGGCGGCCATGCGCCCCAACTTGGCCGCAAACGCATCTACAATGTGTACAGTATTGCATAAGTGCGTGGCTATCCTTGGAGAGAGAGAGATGTGTGTGTGTAGGCGATGCGATGTACACTTACCTGGGTTGGCAATGATGGCACGGGCAGGTTGGCGCACAAATCCAACAGAAGACTCGTTTCGGGTAGTTGCATTGCCATGGGAGGTGGCATAATAGGACGCCATCGCGGCGGCGGGGAAGAGCGAGGCGGCAGGGCCGCGCACGAGAGATCGCAACATTGGATACAGTATCCTTGTGTGTGACTGCTACTTTTGTCTTGCCAAGATGGGCACACATGACGCCCTTGAAGATGGTATTGCCGGATAAATACAAGGGATATCCGGATATCACCTCCACGTTGCGTAATGTAATCCATCATATTGCAAATAACCACGAAATATATGGGGGAATTAACCAAAATGTTACGAGAAAATTGCTTAGATACAGCATGGGTCAATATCCGCATACATTACCTACGGTATCCGGATATTATAGAACGTCGAAAGGAACAAGGCTTGCAAAGACAATCATGATGGCGGCCGAGGAAGGATTGCGCAACGACTTGAGTCCGCGCGCGCCCACCGTGGCACATACCGCTAGCCCTTCATCGTCACGATTCGGCACAGAATCCATCTCTGGGGACCGCTCCAGGCTTCTGAATGCCTTGCCGTCACACGAAGAGGTCCGCGACGTACGTCTGAACGTGCTCAACACGAGTGTCCAAGGTGCGCGGAACGCAGGAAGCACATGGCTGCTGCTGGTCGCGTCTGCCGTGATCAACATCCCGCAGGTCGTGGCTTCAGCAGTGATCATGGGCATGTACTGGAACGACCCCGAACTGGCGAATTGCAATCGGCTCAAGTACTGGACACTCGTGCACACGCTCCACTTGTTCTTCACGGTCGTGGTCGAGTGGGTAGTGTACAAGACGACGGCGGTCGCCCCCGACGACCACTCCCATGCTACGGTGCCATGGGCTACGTCCCCCGCCGTGAAAAGCGCGTTGAACTCGATCAAGTACTCGCTCGAATTGCTCGGGTTGTTCTGGTTCTTAGTCGGCAACATGTGGATCATCAGCGACGAAGAGCACAGCTCCACCAAGGCCGGCGGGCACCTGTACAACATGGCCTTTGCCATGGTCACGATCTGCTACGCCAAGATCTTCCTCCCATGTTTGATCCTCGTGGCGCTGCTCCCCATCGTGTGTTTTTGCTTGCCCTGTCTCATTCGCCTCTTGAATCGAATGCAAGACCCCATGCGCGGAAAAGGAGCCACCGCGGAGGTGCGTGGCCGGCACATTCCTGTTTGTCCTGTGTATACTCGGTGCAAATGCTTACTGAAACTACTTGTCAAACCTTTTGGCATGTTCTAATCCAGGTTGTTGATATCGTCTGTCGTGGTGGTGCTAGATCATTGCCAAGCTGCCGAGCGTGCCATATGCATCGTCCATGTTTCCCGACGAGGTATTGTTTTGCATTTCACCCAAATTTCGACTTGTGAGTTTTCCTGTCGCCAAATAATACCATTCGAATCCATGTAATCATTATTCAATTTAAGCTTGTACAAACTATACTACACAAAGATTAGTATATATATATATACTACACAAAGATTAGTATATATATATATATATGGTTTTGCCCAATACAGCATCGAGTCAAATGTTTGGATTGGCAGAAATTCACAAAACGTGATTTGATTGGCTTAGGAGGTTATTGAATCCATTCTCTTTAGACATTCGATTCTGCTGACGGCTCCAGTAGTTTCGAATCGATTTGGCAATATGTTTACGTTCACTTTTGTTTCCCTCTACCACTCTTTGTGGGCAACTATCTTCTTTGTCCTACACTATTCAATGTAGTAGCGTTATACGTGACTGTATTGCCCTTGTACCCAAATACATGTTTGGGCATTAGTGTGCTGATTCGCCAAATCTATGTTGGATTCGTTGGGCTGGCATTTGTATGTAAAACGTTGGCTTGTAAGCACACTAATTAAAGTCATACACTAATTTGATGTGGAGACTGATGGGTTCCTGCAATCTGATTGGCTACCTACGTTTGCCGATTCGTCGTTTCCTTGTTTCCTTCAATCTGATTGGCCAAATACTTGTACATACATAATGCAAGACTCTCCAGTTTATTGTGGATTCGGTACAAAAATTTCCAAACCCTGTCTGTCGACTTGAATCTCGCCACCAAATCGAATCACGAATCGACGCTATTGGCTAATCCAATTTTGAGTGGATTTGATTGGCTGAAAAGGACAAGTATATTCATCCAATCCGAACTCCAGCGTGATTCAATATTGATTTGACAAACCTCGCGAAATTTTGGGAGTTTATTGCGAATTCACAGTATTTAAAAACCCAACAATATAACGTTAGAAAGGTTCATAAACTACTCTTTTTTTAAATTCATAATCTTTTAAAAATAGTTTTTTTTAATTTCACATCTGACTTTCAATTTTGTTTTAATTATAATTGGGGCATGTCTAACTTGTCCAATATAAACGTAGGACGCGAGCTGTTGCATTTGCCTAAACGAGTACATCCACGACCAAACCCTGCGCGTGCTCCCATGTAAGCACCACTTTCACCAAGCGTGTGTGGACGAGTGGCTCGTCGTGAACGCCACGTGTCCAACGTGTCGCACTTCGATTGACCCGAACGAAGGCGCAGTGCCACGTCACGACCCCCCCGCCGACGTCAACCTGATTGTATAGCAGGCGACACAACGCACCGTACTAGTAGTAGTCCCATCGTAGTAAACCCAGTCACTATATATACCGCGTTCTTTGCGCAAGTACATTGTATTAAACATGTTGCTGCTGGCGACACTTGTGCTTCTCAAGTCCCCCCAAGGCGATTGGCGATAGTACCATGAAAGGTGCTGAGGACTTCAAGAGAGTTCCACCCAAAAAACTCAGTTTAGCCTTGTGGATTGAATATGACGGGCAGTACAGTATTATTGATTTGGTACAGATTTCAAACCGATCACGATCATTGGTCAATCTGGAAATGCTTGTCGCTGATTGGCTACATTATTTTTCTTGTTATTTTCGTGCTTTCTGCGGAATAGGGAAAGCCAATGAAATTTCGCGCGAAATTTGTGATCTATGAATCGCGCAGAATTTGTGACAACTTTATACAGTACTTGATAATGATTACGTTAAACGGCAAGCCTCAGCAGGCGGAAACTGTGGCGATACAAACACTTGATGATGATTCTAAGGACCAGTTATATATAGTGGAGGTTGAAGGTACTGTACATGTATCGTCTGCTGTGACTTGCAAATATTCAGAGGTTATTGTTGATTTATTCTCTGTCAATAAGTATTTCCTTTGGACTGGCTGATAGAATTATTTATTCTGTATTATGTCAAATAAAAATAAATAATATTTCCTCTTTGCAACTCTTTTACTGAAATAATATAATAATACTATTTTTCCTACCTCTGTACCGTACTACTGTAGTAATATGTAGTACTCTAAGGAATACTACCGGTACTACTATTAGAGACTTTTAGCAAGTTCGAAATGTGAGTAGTTTACATACTTTGTACTTGTTCGATTATCGCGATGTCTGAAGTTGGAAGTTTAAAGAATTTTGATTTAGCAAGTCTGAAAAGTAAATCCCGTCACTTCAATCCAAAACCATCCTTTACCCCATCTCCTGTTCTTAGCATGTGCCTACCGGTATGACTTCATTGCGCGCAATTCAGCGCGAGACACATGAGGACATGGTGAGTGTGGATTTGTACATTATATGCGACGTTATAGAACGATAGTCATCGAAAGTTATGGACTATAGGGACTCAGTAGCCCACTGCTTTCGAAGTTTGAGGATCTTGAGGTAAGATCCTCCCTATGTTTGATCGCTAAGTATCGTGGCGGCCAAACAGAGGTTTACGTAGCCAGGATCGAGCTCGCCGCGCGTCGTCCACCAGGCCCTTCAAAAAATAATCTAAAATGAATACTACTTCAAGTATTCAATAATTTAAATAAAATAAACTATTCTTTGTAATTCAGTCCTTGAGTCAATAATCTACAACTGTTCCGTAAATAAATAAATTGTTCAAGTTTTTGAAGCCGTAAAGTAAATGATTCATTTCGACCAAATTATTCGTAGGCATTTTCAATGATCTTATTGGACAATTGCTAGGATGACAAGCTTCCGATTGGCCCCAAGTATTGAACGGCAAAAGTTAACTACATGTATTGTGGATTCGGTACAGATTTCCAGACCCCATCGAATCACGAAACGACGCTAATGGCTAATTTGGCTCTTACAGAGAGGACAAGTAAATTCAACCAATCAGAACTCCAGCATGATTCAATATTGATTCGTCGTTCACTGTAGACAAACCGCGCGAATTTTGGAAGTTTATAGCGAATTCACAATACTACGAAAAGAGCTCTAACTACGGCGCATTATTACATAGTATAGCCTTGATGTCGGCAGCTTTGAACACCCTCCGTGGTAAGGCTTTTGCCGAGCTTATTCCTTCATTACCGCTTTATTGTCCCAACGTGAAGAATGTATGCGCGATTCTTCTCTGTACGAAGGGGGAAATTGGCGACCACCGTTGTGACTTAAGTTGTTGGTCTCAAATGTGCAAGTTACTTCGAAGTACTACGTAATCAGTAGTACTATATAGTAACGAGCATTTGCAAGTTCATTTCATTCCGATAACAGCATACAGTAGCATACAGTACGTACCCATTGAATATGCTTATTTAAGTTGTTTTGAATTATTCAAATAATTTATTCGCACCGGACACAGGGGGGAATAAATAATTCAACAGGGCAGCAGGCACCAATAAATAACTCACTCCATAAGTCCTTGTGAAATGAATGATCTTGTTTTCTCTTGAGCACAAATAAGTAAAATATAGTATTTTCAATGGCCTTGGGGTGATCAGGCGGCAGTCCTCGGAGGCTTGGTGCGCGGTCGCGGCGAGTAGATTGTGATGTACTGCCCTGATCTACAACTGAAGACAAGCGTCCTGCATCACTGCACACGCCCGATCTTTTGCACTATCCTAACAGTAGATAGTCTTAACTACCGGTACCTATGCGTTGGCTGAAGCGAGTCGGATCATGTTGGTGTGAGTGAAAATTTTGCAAGCAACCCTCAACAGAGCAATTTGATTGGCTTGGAAAGTTTTCAGACTTCGAGGCCAAAAGTGTGATTGATGACTTCATCACTTTTCCGACTTGCTTCCGAGCAAAGTCTACAAGCTTCGAAGTTCGAATTAAGGTTTACAGTTAACTGTAAGTTTGGAAAATCAAGACTCCTTAAGTACTGGTATGCTAGTAGTACAGTACGTAGTTACTAGTATTGTCGTTTTATCCAAAATTTGGACTTTTGTGCTGATTCGCCAAATCTATCAATCGATTCTTTGTCCTGACTTTGTATGTAAAGATCGCCCAGTATCACACAAATTTCAGTCACACACTAATTCGGTGTTGAATGGGTCGACGAGTGCATTTGATTCGCTACTTGATTAGTGTTGTGGGTTTTCATTGGCCGATTTGGTGCTGCACATTCGATTTTGTTCATTCACGTCGATACTGTATGTCGTGAGTTGTAGAGTCCACCGTGGGTGCGCAGCACTTGAGCCAGTGCATTGAAGATGACTGTTGGCATGCGAAAGTAGTTTTCGACGAATGCACTTTCGTCCTTGGAGCATCGCTTGGACACAGTATGAGCCGCCGAGTATGGACACTCGCTTAGGAGTTTTCATGACGAAGGACGCGTGGTAATATCGGAAGTACTGAGCAGAGATCCCTGCGTCGTCGTAAGACCCACCGCCGTACCAACAGGGCAACGAAGCGTCGATCAACCATGTTGTGTGATTGTTTGTGCGCGCGCAAATCGCCAATCATTTATTTATAATTCAGAAGTCGAAATGGCATTCAAAGGACATAATTGAATTATCTATATATTTTTATGTAACTCCAATTTGGAACGGGAAATATCTGTCAGAATATTATTTGACGTAAAATTATCTGTGGCATCCAGACTCGCCCTAAATGTATTTATGAGTTATTTACAATACAGTACTAGTATAAGTTAAATGTATTCCGAGGACATTGGTTGTTCAAACAAGATTCGCTAAATGACAGACACTACTAATAAGGAGGAACCTGTGGACATAACGTGATAGCTGCTTGTAATAGTTCCATTATAGAAAATGCGGCGGTGCACTAGCAGAGCTTGCTCGTTAAATCAAATCCAGGCGAATGCAATGGATTGTAACGATCACAATTGGTCAAGCGGTCTAGGGTTGGGATTGTACATTGTAGGTAGAAACGCGTGGGTTCAAATCCAGAATGTACGTTACAGTACACTTTTTGCATTTTTGTTGTGTCGAGTGATATCGTTTGAGACTCAATGTTCGTGAGAGATTGCAAGTGCACCAGATACAGCATCATATCTATCGTAGATGCCAAAACAGATTCACGTGCATGAGGGTATTCTGGTACCTGAAAACAATGTAATTCAATTTGATGGCATGTTGTCACTTTAATGACAAGTGACAGAAGTTGTCGGTCTTATTGTATGCCATGATGCCACGTCATTCGAGCTAAAGGATAAAACACTCGTGTAGTGCCAGGCTACATGTGCTAACTAGTAGAATAATCCAAGGAATAGAAATCGTATTGCATGAGTACAACTACTGTACTGTAGAGTACATTGCTTGCTACATAACGTAGCCACTCTCGCATACTTGTGCAGAGCCCACGTCAACTCATCCTATATGTCAAATGACTCGTGTAATGTCAGTTTTATTCCTGGGTAAGCATTTTAGCAGTGCATGCGTTCAACTAACAGTGTCGTGTAAGTAAGTTTTGTTTTACTAACTAGTTACACCATTTTCGTTTAAGTTCAGGTTATTTCCGGTATATTTCGTCCGACGCACAACTAATTCACGCCATGTGCGCTATGTTCGCCAAGCATTCAATATATTTCGTTCAGAACCTTCTTCGTTGCATTATATTTCGACTAATGTCTGGTGTATATGTCACCCCAAAGCCGGTATATTTCACACATTGTTCAATATATTTCAAATGATGTTCCAAGTATTTCGATAAATCGACGCAGTAATGGATGGAACGAAGTAGCCAATGAAATTTTCGAAAAAAAACTTTCCATCAATGAAATTACAGGTGTATCCGGTGCATTGCCAAGCTTCTCCATTTCACAAAGAGTTCAACGTTGTATCGGGCAGGAGTCACAGTGAGTATATTTAGTTCACGTAAAATGACGCTCGACGATTTCATGTCGTTCGTCCAATCTACCGAAAATGCCAAGTTTAGCTCAAAAGCACAATATCTACTGTATGGTATGATTTACTACGTAGTAGACAAGTATCCATCACCTGCGATTTACTTGATTTGCTTCGAAAATTGAAATAGATGGAACATCATTTGAACAACGTGTGAAATATACTGGTTGTGGGGTGACATATACCGGACATTAGTCGAAATATAATGCAACGAAGAAGGGTCTGGACGAAATATATTGAATGCTTGGCGAACATAACGCACATAGCCTGAATCAGTGGTGCGTCGGACGAAATATACCGGAAAACCTGAACTTACAGTTAAACGAAAAATGGTGTAGTGTGCTCCATAGCAAGTGGGATAGTTGTGTCAAAGCTAACAGTAAATCGATTTGCCTTATAGATCAGCACACATGAGTTCCCGCCTAACGTTAGTAAACGAGGATTCTATCAGTTGAATCATAGGAACCGATTTAGTACTCCATTCTACCCCTGAATAACTGTAAGTTACTGCCG